CAATTACATAATACTGACACATAAGATAAATAGAATTTAAATTTAATATATTTTAATCTCTTTTTTTTGCCTATATTTTGTTTACTTTTTTGAAATTTAAAATATAAATATACTTTGTTATTACTTATAAAATCTAATAAGTCAAGTAAAAGAATAACAATAGAAAGAAACTGTCAGACTAAGAAATATTATACTTTTACCCAGACTTTGGTACTTTATTTAATTCTTAACATTTCTTCATTGCTGTATTTTTGTGAAATTGTTCTTTTATGAATTTTACTAAAGCTCTTTTTTTTTTAATTCTATTTCTCCTAGAATAAGACAATTATAAGAACATTAAATATTTAATTCAATAAATGGATAATAAATCAATATTTTTCTACAAGTACATTAGTTCATATTATTTTTTATTCAGAGATAAAATAATTGATTTGAAGATGATGTGTAATAAAGGAATTAGTTCAGTAAGTACATGAAAGTGTTTGTTTTCAAAGTCTGCAAATTATATAGTCGAAGTTTACATTTAACTGGCATATCCGTAAGAAAGGAAAGAAATTTAATATAAGTAGAAGATCATTTTTATCGATTTTTTTCCTTCAAATATATTCTACACATATTTTCTTTTTACATGGGACCAACGAATGCATCTCTATAACTTCTCATTATTAATTTTAAAAATTAATTCTCTGTTCATATTATTTTTTTTTTTTATTACTTTTTAATTTGAATTTTGTTTGCTATTTCAAGTGAGTGGTGGTGCGTTGTTACGAGTGCGAATGAAGATAGAGGGAGTCTAGAGACATCTCAGATTGCTCTAAACTACGACCAAGTGAGGAGCTCTAAAATTTTGAGGTAATTTCAAAATGATTGTTAACAAGTTGTTGCTTATCTTTCTTTTGTTCTTTTAATGAATACTAAGTAATTTGTGATCCGTTATTGTTGATTGAAACTCCTGGTTCTTCGAGGGAAACAATTAGTAAATTACTAGATGCAAACAATGATACTTTTACATAAGTAAACTACTTGTTTTATCTCTGACTAAAAAAGTACTTGTCAAGAAAAGTAATTAATATGAATCAATGAAAGCTGATGATAGAATTAAATAAATGGGAAGAATAATTCAGATAAATGAATCGATAATCGGACTTGAGATCGTTTCTTTAATCATTAGCTTTATCCGATGCAGACAATCTTAAGTCTTTGTTATTTTGTACTCTGTACCTGTTGCGTTAAGCCGCAGCAAGTTACTGAATAATGGATATCCAGTGGGTATACCTTATAAGTAGATATACCTATGTACATTAAAGAAAATGTACTTTCAATGTTCTATCCTATGTCGCAGCAATAACTGTGTTTGAACATTACTTGACCTATATATACTTTTAATACCTTTACCCGAGATGCTCTAAATAATTTATGTGCACAATTGCCGTAGAAGTTTATTCCTGAGAAAATCGCGGCACCGTAAGCCGTTAGATTTGAAAACAATAAGCTCGAATATTTGGGCTTTCCTTGCCACATCTTTGGACGTATTAATACTAAAAGTTTTCATTCATTTTCATTTTTTTATCATTTTTTTTTTTTTTTTTTTAATTTTCTAGAGTGATTGCTCTAAAAAGTTAAGCAAAACAAATTGATTTGACCTTGAGTAAATAATAAATTGATCAAACACTCTGTCTTTATGATCAAGTTATGTGAATACTACACATAAAATATAGTTCTATACACAATTACAGGTATGTATATTTTTACATTTTTTTTTTTTTTTCTTCTTATCAATCACTTAAATAAGTATTTTCAGCGAGCATGAATCATTTTGCGTTCGTAAAAAGTTTCATAAATTCAGTCTCAATTATTTGCAGTGATCTGAAATTCTAAATGCATTATCTTCTAATGCATGATATAAAAGGAAAATAGTTGGCAATTTATAATACTTGAAGGAGGTAAAAAGTGCATTTTTTCATTATGTGTCTCTAGAGATTTTGGGGTTTATTGCTATTATATCAATTATATTGAATACAAAAATGGCATCTAATTTTTATAAGATATTTATAGATATAGTTATAGTATTGTATTGACTTTGTTTATTTTAGATGATCAATGATATAATAATACTTTTTTTTTTGTTACAGAATTCATTTTATCCATAAATAGATGAAGGAGTAAATTGTAAACAAGTCAGAACAAAAATAAAATTTATTCAACTATTTTTCCTGTAAACTAAATGGTAATCAATGCAGTTAAATTCAACATTATTTAGAATAACTATTCAATGGACTCCACTAGATTTTAAATGTCTGTTTTTTTAATAGAAATATTTGATAAAAATTAAAAAGAAAAGTTTTTTATAATAAAAAACAATTGATCTATTCGTTCAAAATGTAGTTGATGATTAATGTCTTTTAACAATGAAAAAAACTTGTTTGAAAAATATTTCAGTTGTATTTAGAAAACCAAAAATTCAAAGGATTAATCTTCAATTATTCGTGGATAAAATGCTTCAAATAGTTATAAAGAGAAGTGGAATAGAAAAGAATAATATTCAATGGATGTTTTTAATTGACTTGAAGTATGGAATGAAGTTTCAATTAATTAAAGAACTTTTGACTGAAACGTTGTGAGAGATTTTAATAAATATAGAATATCCCTAGTTGGTTCTAAATCATCATGATAATTGACTTAAACTAATTGACTTTATAATGTCTATAGAAATGAAAAAAATTTGAATGTGATTGTTATATATATTTATATATTTATATGTATATGTGCTGTTGTTGATATATATTATACTGATTTACAGATTGATACAAAAGATTGTGATGCATATGTTCATTTGATTATTCATTATTGCATCAACGTAATTATATTCCAATCTGAATTCGAATTATGGAGCTATGTATTACAGTAAAAACACTTGATAATTGATAATAATTAATAATCATAAGAAAACCATTTATATTAATTATTATTATTGTTGAAAAAAAATTTTTAACTTTAATTTTATCCACCTGTCAATCCAACAGTATATTTTTTTCATGAAGTTCATGTAGAGAGATTCAAAATAGAAAGCACTCTGGTATATTGTAAAAAAAGAATGCTTTGAATTTTATTAAAAAAAAAATCATTAAGCATTTTTCCAGTTATATTCGTAATATTGACTGTATCTATAATGAAATTTTTAAAAAAGCATGATCGATTTTTTTATTAATGTTACAACGCAACATAGTGAATAATATTCAAATTTTGGGGTAAAGTTTATTCTAAATTTCTCTTCGTGTAAAAACAAATGATATTGTAAATTATTTAAGTCTCATTGTGAGCTACGTTTTATCAACCGTAATAAATGTTAAATACCACATTTGTGCGATTTAATCAATCCACGTGATTTAGTCTGATAATTTGATTCTAACACATAAATCGGTTTTCTAGGAATATTGATCTTTTACTGACAAATCACATTAAATTCTTAACATTAAATCTTACAAAACTGTTAGAAAAAAGGAGGTATATATAACTGTAACTCAAGCTTTAATGATTAATTTTTATTTTATGGTGATAATTTAAAATACCTCAAATAAAAAGGTATCTATGAATTTTTAGTTTCATGTTTGTTACTTAAAAGAAAAAAAAATAGTAACAATAATTGAAAGTCACAACAGAACAGTAATTTTTTTTCAAATTACACTCGTATATCATTCAATAAGATTTACAGTTTTATTAATATCCATAAAATTAATTTTCAATCATTTAAATTCATATTTATTGTGGTTTATTAATCGAAAAGTTTAACCTGATATCAATTCTCGAATCATCAACAAATGAGTTAATCTCAGTAGCAAACAGCAATCGAATTTGAACTTGAACTGAGGGTGTTTGTGGTATGAACTCATTTGGCCACTGAGATCTATGCCCTAGTTCTCGATACTTTAGTGTGGGTGTATAGCATGAATGAAGTACATGTATATATCCATAGGTATTAGATTAACACTAGCTTTATTGATGCAAAGCTTTTTAATGAAAGGGAAATTAAACGTAATAATTTTTTAATCGAAAGATGTATTCAAGGATAAATTTTTTCTAGTAAAAATATTGAGGAAAATTCTATTACCATGGCAAAATATGTACAGAATGATTAATTTTCTAATCAAATGATCATCTGGAAATTTTGTTTTATATTTATATCTAACAATTAAAAACTAGTGTTTCTAATTTTCAAATTTATAAGCATCTTTTTTCATTTTTTACAAATCCTCTTGTATTGATAAGTTCATGCCTTTGATATTTTTACTATATTTTTATATTACCCCATAATTTTGCATTTACAGTATAATTTGATTGAATAATTGATAAGATTTAAATATGATTAATCTTGCATTATTTACATATTTAATCATTAATTATTTTTGTAAATAATTTATAATTAGTAACAGTTTTATTATAAATGGTTAATTAATTTACATGCAATAAATATGAATATACTATAGTCTTGACAATTGTCAAGTAATATTTTAAAATGAGGTAAATAAAATATTTTCATATAAACATAAATTTATCAAGTGTGAGAATAAAATTAATACTGCACGAAGCAAAACTTACCGAAGAGAAACATTCACTCTTGAAAGGAGTTCGTTTTAGTTAGATAGTTAAAGTAATCTTCAGTATAAAATTGGCTCCGATTATTTGAATGTCTTAATATTCTTTGATTGACAGGTTTAAAAAGTAATTTCAAATCTGTATTTGATAATATTTACCTAAAAATTTTCTCTATATACAAGCACTTGTAAAATATTATTAAAAAAAAGAAAAGAGAATATAAATTGAAAATCATTAGGTAAATAGATGTGGGCAGTCAACTGCATATATTCTATTCTTGTAAGTCAAGAATAAAAGATGAAAGAAAAAAAATTCAACGAAGGAAACCTGACGTTTTAATCTCAAGCATACAGATGGGGTCAGAAGAATTTTATAGAAGCTCAAGAACATGTAAGTAGTAGAAGATAGAAATAGAAGCAAGATTTTGATATTTCAAAAGTCGAGCAGATGATGAGACAGAATAAAATTACGAGCACAAATGATTCATGCTGACATCTGAAAATATTGTTTGTTATTTTGGCATTCATAGAATTTTCCCATCGATATACACGACGTTGAAAATGGACTAGTATATAAAGCGAAAGGCCTCTGCATTAAAAGAAATATTCGGCTTGGCGCGAGATTATCTGTTACATAAAATATTACATCAAAAGCGTCATGGTTGCTTCTTTCGGTGATGTTTATTTCTTTAATCGCAATGCCCTCAAAATTTAAATTGTTCATATTGCACTTACATTGCTGTGTTAGAAAATGCACTCATCAAATGCATCCACTAACATTATAATTTATAATTTGACGGCTCACGTTAAGATGTTTGTTTGCATATTTTTCTAACTACACATGATCAGTCTTTGTGATGATCTTTAGTTCAAGGGAACCACTCGATTAACGTAATATCCAGCGACGTCCGTGTTTATGTTTATCGAATAATCCAGGTAACAGTCAGATTCAATATCAAAACAGAAGTTGTTGTTGCTACTCGGATAGCAAGGTCTGAAACATAAAATTCATTATTGCTTGCATCAATACTTACCTGTGAATTTATTACTTAAAATTAATTAGAAGTCAATTAAGAAGATTATTTAAACATTTTAAATGTTAATAATTAAATTAAGAAAATATTCATTAAACGCATTAAAAATTATTAACATTTGTTAATATATTGGTTAATTTGTTGCTTTACATTTTTTTTTTCGTGTCCCACTTTACTCCATCTTCTCCCACGTTGTTTGCAAACTCGAAAATGAAGTAAAAAAAAATTCTTAAAAGATATGGAAATAAAAGAAAACAAGTTTTATTTCGTGCTCCGGTGAGTTTGAAAGAGTTAGTCTTAGTTTATTAAGATGGAATAAATCTAGAATTATTTTAATCATTGCCAATAATTTCATAAAGAACTTAAATTATCTTTCTACAGATAAACAAAAAATAATAATCATATCATTAAATTACTATATCTTTTTTAAAGATAATTTTGATTATTTAAAGTAATAAATTGAAATAATTAACTGCATAATTCTCATTTTTAATTTCAAAAAATAATTATAGTTGAAGTTAATTTCAAGTATCTCTTATTTATGAAGCATTTAACATTAGCATTTACTCTGATTGAACATAAATGTTCTTTTAATAATTCCCCTCTAGATATTCATGAATTGTTTTGTTAGTAAATGCATAATTTACTAAATATAATTCAATTCATTATCAACAAGTGATAAAGAAGTTCATTAATAACAATAAATATCTTATTTTGAACAATTGAAAGGAAACCGAGACGTTAAGTCACTAAATACCTCAATATCAAATAGAGATGAATAATATTAGAATTTTTTTTCTTATTATCGAAAGAGCCATATTGTTCCTGATTTTTCAGTTCCATTCATCTTTGATTAAGCTTCCAATACAATGAGGCGAATTCTTGGAAGTAGTGGTGCTTCGTTTATTTTATCATTAAAAACGAAAAAAAAAAAAAAAGAAAAATTGCGAAGAGAATAAGAGAAAGAGTATCAAGAAGAAAGAAAAGTGTATGGAGGGAGGGGAGGAAGAGAAACGAAGAGAGAGATGGTGTGAGAAAGAGAAAAAAGAGTATACTCCTCTCGTATCCCACGGGACTTCCGAACTCCGCAACTTTTGTCTGCTATCCTATTCTGTTACTCTGCATTCGTGCTACGTAGCCTTTTCCTTTTATTACTTTGTTCATCTTTTTTATCTCATCTCTTTAAAGAACGGCAAATTCGCAATGCGTTCAGCTATTCTTTTTCAATTAAATTGTTTAGTAACGCTTTGATTTATAATACTTCATAATCATCTGATTTTTTATTTATAATTGTGCTATTGTCACACTGAAGTTCAAATAAATACTCATTTTCATTGGATATTAATAAATAAGTTTTCACTATTATTTAATGGAAAAAAAATTCATTATTAATGACAAATATTAGTTCAATGAGGTTAATTATTAAAATGGGATTAATTTATAATTGATTTCATTGTTTTAATTTTGTAGTATTTTTCAATTATGAATAGAGTATTTCTGGTATAGAACATAAAAAATCGAAATTTAATGTTATTATTATTTTTTTTTAAGGTATTTTAATTTCTAGTTTCTTTTGAAAAATTAAAAAAAATTAATTTCAATACGATTAAATAAATAATACTAATGTGATAGTATTTCAATCGATTACCCGATTTCGATTTTCATTTATAACCGAATTATGCGAGAAATAGAGATTAAAAGAAAAATACGTACACGAAGATAAGACGAAAAAATGCAATTGTCTGATATTGAATCAGAGAGTTGGTTATTGATCCTTGAGTTTTATATACATCGTCTTGGAGTTTTAAGATGTTTGTAGATGTAGAGATATTGTGGTAAGAGTCAATGGGGAGAAGAAAAGCTGGGAGGTCGAAAGAGAAGGAAAGATTGAAGAGAAAGAGCCATCCGAGAAGTTGTGCGAACTTGTCAGAAAACCCGATTAAGCCACTGTGCATTCATTTTCTTGTACCATCTCGTCGACTTTTGCCCATACCCAGACATCGTCCTCAAACTTTGTTGGGCAAAGTTCTCTCGATTGGTTTACATACCGTGGTCGCGCAATTATTGTAAGTGAATTAATTCAACATTTGATTATATTGCTTACCATGATTGGATGGCCAATTGTAGTTACTCTTTTCTTCTATATCACCGGATTTTTGCTCGGATTTATTTATTTCGTTGAGGTTTGATCCAGATTTCTTATCTGAAAGTCAAGAAAAACATTCATAAATTTTACAAATTGAGTTACAGTTACATTACATTTATTTCTTTTAGAATTATTTACGTTTTATTATCTCATTCTTTTTGTTAAGTTATAACATTATTTATTATTATTAATTTTTTTTAATTAATCTACTACTTCATACTGTACATCTATGTATGTTATAATTGTTAAAAACAAATTATAAAGTGACTACAAAATACAATAGTTTGTGTATGGAGCTTTAATATTGAACACACTCTATGTGCATTATAATAATTCATATTTTTTTTCAGTATTCATATATCTACTTTATATGTTAATTGATTTGTTGACGCCATATTCACAAGTTTTAACTTTGTTAATATGACATACTTCCAAAAATGAAGTTATATCATGACATACTTGGATATTTCTATTCCTATAAAATCATCAATGAATGAATAATTCTTTATGACAATTCTATATTTAATCTAATGAAATAATTTATGTTGAAGAATAGAATATATGATTTATACTAGTTTATTAATTTATGTAAATGTATTGGACAAATAAAAAAAATTGAAACTTTCACAATAAGTAGAAAAGTCTTGTTTAGTCAGACATCAAAAATTTTTCGATTAATTAGAGTAGAGTTGTCGTTAGGTTTACCGAAAGACCATTAAAATTTTAATGACGAATTTGCTGCCTACTTGGTGCCTAAACCATATTTCCGCTCGGATTGTTTAAATTCAAGAAAAAAAATTTAGTAAAAGCTAATGAAAGATAATTCTTAATAAATAGATTTTGATTCATTAAAAAAGATTAAAATATTCAAGGATTGTATTGAAATGTATCTATTCTTTTCAAAAATGCTTAATTAATAATAGAAGAGAATAAAAGAGATGAATTTTTTTTAAATAAATAATTACTTTTGGATTGTATCAGAAAATACTGAATAAATTATTATCCAATACTTGTCTAAATTGAGATAATTTTAAAACCACCTTTATAAAACTGAGAAGATAATCAATGAATTTTCCACTAAAACATCTAATGACGTAAATCTTTAATTGCCTTAATACTATCATTTTGAAAGTCAGTTTATTACTTTTATCATTTAATGACTATTTATGTGAACCAATAAATTAAAAGAAACTTCTAACGAGTTCATTGATTGTCGTAATTTAGAGACAAAAGCATAAAAAAAATGATCACGTTTTATTTAACAGACCTAAATTGAATTTTATCTCTGAAATAATATTTATATGTAAGTTTGGCAGACTCATTAGAAATAAAAGGTTACGGGTGTTAAAGACAACGGAGCAAGCAGGTCCGAGACAAAGGGAGCGACAATGAAGTGCCTCTTGACTAAAGATGTTTACACCTCCATTGGCGTGTAAAGAGGGTAACAAGGGAGCTACAACGAGTATGCAAACTCAAGGTAAACACAATTCTCTTAACCTCATCTGAGGGCTTATATTCATTGGTTTGCCACGTTCAGTGTACAACATGACGCTTTCTCGTCTTCAAAGTCCATTTCGGAAGACCATCAGGATCCAGATTTACCTTTGTACTTAGATTTTATATGATTTTACGTTGTTTTTTTATTTTTTTTTGTGATATTATTTTATAAAACTTTGTCAAAGTATTGTAATTAAGGCTTACATAATTAACTACTCAACAGGAAGCACAATAATGGCTTCCATACATAAACGCAATATTTAGCTAAGAGCTTGATTGACAGTAAATACATAGTTACTAAAGTTGATTTTAGCTCACAAAATAAACAAGTATAATTTAAGTAATGTATTTTCATGTATATCACATAAATATTGTGAAAATATATCCTAAGGTACTGTGTCATTTGACATTTGCTAAACAGCTATTTTAGACCCTATAAAAAAATTAATTGTCATTTATTTGAGATAATTATTATTAGGTAGAGTTAAAATTTGGTTTTTTAATATTAGAAAATGTTTTTTAGTTAAAAATAATTTACAATGAAAGTTGAAAATATTTTTTTTATTCACTTGTTTAATTTTCATTAATTTATTCTTCTCCAGTTTTACTAGGAGATTTTAAGATAAATTGTAATATTAAATTTTCAATAAGACACTCAAAGACATTTTATTTGATTAAAGTACCCAACTTCGTCAAGTTTTTTTTAATCATAAAATTTTCCGAGCACAAAGCTGTCTGCTAAATCATTAGCTTATTAATCTTCAGAAATGAAAAAATATTACAAATATTGTAATTTAAAAGATCAATTTAAAGAGAAAATTGGAGGTCAGTTTTTCAATACAACAAAAAAGTATTGTAATTAAATTGAATGAAATTTAATTTTAATAATAGACATTATTTTTTTCAGATAATTGATGAATATTTTCAATTTAAATGATGAAAGGAAAAAAAAGGTAATAAATTGTTCATTTTGACTAAAATAAATAGCTTCAAAACTCTATAGAATACACTTAAGATCACGTTTAAGTTGCTATAGACACTTCACTTCACACGATACACTCGACACACGAAACAAGTGATGCGAAAACAACAGAATGACTAACAATAGATTTTTTTCTTGCACCTGAAGCTTCAGTTGAATTCAAATGCTATGTTTACGAATATGTTTGTGAACAGTCGATCAATCAGTTTATAAATTTTAAACGAATGACAATAATCTTGGAAATTTTAATTATACATGATAATAATCACTGCACTACACTACACTGCGAGAAATAAAAATTAAAAATTCATGTACGACACTGTACGAATTCTCATGTTAAAACTTAGGATTAATTGTTGCTATTACTGTTAATTATTATTATTTTTGAAGTATCACATGAGACTACAAAGAGTTAAATAAGCTCAAGAAAATTATAACATCAATTTTAAGACTGATTTTATATGATTTGTTATTGAAATTATTTCTAAAAAAAATTGATAATATATTTAATTGATGTCAGAGAATGAGGTTTTTTAAAAATATATGTATAAAAAAGGATTAATTAAATTATTTGATTAAAAAATTTATTACATATGCTGATAACAAAGTTAATAAACAATTAATTCAAAGAGTATTTTTTGAGCTAAATGAAGAATTGTTAATAGTTAATAAATCATATAAAAATGTCATGATTTAATTCAGAAAAATATTTAAATTATTTAATCAAACTTGAGGTCACATTGTATGACCGGATTATTAAAATAAAAATAAATTTTCTAAATCATTAAATAATTAAATTAAGTACGATTAATAAAATAATGTTACAGACATTTACAAAAATATTATCTATTAATATCAAGAGATATTCAGTGATTAAAGACTTATTAATTATCAAAAAATGAATAATTTTCATATAATGTTGAAGATTTAATAAAAATAGTCAAAAAATAAGTAGATAGAATAAAGCATTTAATTAGCTGGTAGATTACAGATTAAATTTCACTCGAATAACGTACTCGAATTAATGATCACATTCAGATTGTATTCTCGAATAGCCTATTTTGATAAGATAATTGATCGTCATATATAGATCTTATAGATATTTGTAATGTACATATATGCTCGTTTACATTATAATGAGAGGAGCAACATGAGGCTTGCCGATCATTCTGAACAATAGAGAATGTTGGAGAACAGTATCCAACAGCTTACTGGATTCTGACTAAGAAGGGCTGGTTGGTGGTACAGACGCATGCAAATTTTAGCTAAACATTAGCAGTGACAGAGCACGAGTTATATGAGGAGACTGCACGAACATTGTGTGGCATATAAGTGTACTAGAGGTGGGGTTGATACAACTGCGTTCACGTGCTGCTATCTGTCCCTCAATTTAACCCTCAGTAGGACTTGGTATAACTGCTCTAATTCCATTGTTTCAACATAAGTGACCATTATCACAATCAATGAAGCTATTGGATGTCAAGAGTGAGTGGCTTGCTTGTATATACGAGAGACATGGATTGTATTACACACAGTTATACTCATGTGGAGATTCGTTGATAGAAACATTATTTTCCTGGGACATAATCATAAAATTTGGGTAAAAACATGAGCTTGTGTTTAATACAATATTTGTATTTAATCTGATGAATTAATTTATGGTAACTAATTAGTCAATTATAAAACTACATAAGAGGAATCGTTGAGTGATGAGACTAATTGATTTTTATTCAATAGGTAGAAGGGTCCAACTTGCTAGGAAATGAAGTAATCATCCAGTCATGGCTGAGCAGACAACTACTGCTGAATGAGAACTTCATGCTAGTTCAATGATGAACCTATTCGATGTTCCTCCTAGGGATAGTCAAAAAATCATGTCATTTAAGAAGTCATCAAGTTGATGGTACCATGTTATCAAATACTATATTTTTAATTATATCAAGAAAGGAAGTTTCATTTTTGTTTTTTTTTTATAGAAACAATAACAATTTTATTTTAAAGAAAATCTAATCTCATGTTGGAATATAATTTCAATATTATTAACATAAAAACTTGATATGACTTTTTATATTTATTTGCTTGAGAAATGAAGCTAGCCAGCAGAGAGTTCTAATAAGTACTCGAATGTCTTATTATTAGAGGATTGATGAATCGAAATAATTTAAACAAAAATTTATTTTATCTATAAAAGAACATTTCTCAGCTGTATAGTATTATTTTTAGAATCTCTCTATTCTAGAGACTTTGAACAGATAGGTCTTTGTGATATGGTGATTTTTTTAAAATTACTTTGCATGTATAAATAATTAATTTATGCATATATATTTTTCTTTTAATAATAATAATATAGGTATATTGTGTTGATTACAGTTAAATTTACCTGTATGAATTGAGCATTATACGATAACGAAACTCTTGATGGGTTAACTTTACTCAATGTTATATCGTAGCAAGACCGCGAAAGCTAAACGAAGTAAAGTGGGAGTTTAAGCCACCGGCATCTCTTTACCGTGGTTCCGTTTCCGCCCCTCTGAGCAACACGTCAAGCTTGTACTTACCCTATTTACTCACTCTCCATCCTTATACTAGGAGATGCTCGACAGACTTCCTCAACTTTTGTGTAAGTTACAGAATATCAGGATTCAAGATACAAACATCACGAGTTTGTATACAGTTTTTAAGAAAGTGTTGGCTTTTTCATCGATTCACTCTAAAAGCTACTTTTATATTCACTTCGGTATTTTTTTCAAAATTGTCCCATAACAGTTAAGCCATATTCTTTTATCCTCAAACTTGTTGCAAGATTTTTCCAAACTTTCCAACCAAGTAACAATAATCAGTGGCTGCTTTTGGATCCAAGTATGACTTTTTGTCAATATTATTGCCACTAAGTTTATTATTATTTTTTTTGTTTCCTTACCACCATTTATGCGTGTAGATGCGTGAGCAGTTATGTACAAAATAGATATCGCGGAGGTTAGTAGTTGGTAGATAAAACACGATGTAGTGGTATGAGTACGAGGGAGCAAACATTAATGCCACCCCACAGACCGCAGATGTTGCGCCAATTACAAACCTCACCTCTTCCCCTTTACCGCCCACACTGTTTCCCCTACATTCTGTTCCGACAAGCGCTTGAGGCGTAAGCCATTTCTCTAGCGGATACCGACTTATGCCATCGTCGTCGTCGTAGTAGTTGGAACAAGCAATTCTCTACTAGTGCCATTTCTCTTCCTCTTCATACTTAACTTTTTCTTCATTCAAACCTTTAATGTGTAAAATAGCTTCAAATAAGTTATGGTGAAAAATTAACTCTGTCAAAGGTACTTAATTCACTAAAATATCCATCAGATATTTTTTTCTAAAATGACACACACAAGTTCTTCTTCAAAATTTTCAAGAATTTTGGCATTTAAAGCTTCTCTGCTTTTAAATGGTATTTTCATGATGAATAAAATACCTTTTCTTTCATGAATGATATGTTGAACCTTTTTGGAATTTAATATAATGAGGTTTGTATTTTAATGCGCTTTTAGAATGACGAGAAGTTGAAAAGAAAATGTGAGGTAAACGAAGGTCAAGATGATTAAGAATAGAGAAAAGAGCAATAGTGGGTATAACGAAAACGAGTGAACGCATGTATTCATGAACAGCTGTGTAATGTGCGTACAAGTTTGCGTGGCTGTTATACATATATGCATGTGACTGTACGTGGTTGCTGATATTATTCTTGGGTCTGCCTCGCTGGAGCATTATTAGTTTTGGCGTGTTAGCATACATGAAATATTGATGTTACAACCCTCACTATAGTCTGTGGCAGTCTAGCAGCACTACCGTATCTCAGCTCTTCCTACTTCACTCGTTCTCTTTCTCTTCTACTCTTTACACCATCGTACTTTCACCAACCACACTGCTCAGCCAATCTGTCGCCACTCTAAGTCCGTCCACTAACTTTCCGTGGTGTCGTTTAAGGTCGTATGCGGGCCGATTGCCTCAAAGTTACTCTCTGAAGGTGTTATAGCTTTTTGAACTGTTCTAAACGTGAAGTGACGACGTATGGAGCTTTACCGAATAAAATTTTTATTTCTCCATTTTTATTTTTCATACACACTTCAGTTAAATAATTTAATTTTTTTTGCGATTATTATTATAAAAATAATTCATCGAAACAATTTCTTGTACCGTTATTTTATAATATTAAAAAAATAAGAATGTATTTATAAATTTATTTTTGTGTTTTATCAAATGCACTAAAAGTGTTTTAATATGACATCACATTTTTAATTAATATTGTAGTAACTTTTAATGGACTTGAATATATTCAAGTGATTGCAATATTAATCAAATCGATGACGTCATATCAAAACATTCAGAGTGCATAGAAATTAAACACTTTAAAATAGAAGTTTTGAAATATTCTTATTTCACTAGTAGAAAGTATTTAAGATCATAGTAATGTAAGACTTCTTTGATCAAATACTTTATAATTAGTGTAAGATAATACTTATATCTAAAAATGTTCTGTGAGCTAAATAATTAATTTAAGAATGTCTCTTGAAACAGCAGCAATAAAATAAAATTTTGAAGGTCTTATAGAAAAGTTTGTTTTAAAGAAAAAGTTGTAAATTTTTTTCCAGATTTTAAATTTAAAGCTTTTAGAAATGTTGTTTAACAATGAAGTAAATGAAGAAAAATAAAATATATTTTATCGCAATAGTTTAAAGTAATGCTTTACTCTTGAAGCTAATTTATTTCCTGAATTGATCGAATGCATGCAACGAAAATATCATAATGCACTACTTTACCAATTTTCGGAGTTTTCCCATTCGGAAACATGAGCGAACTTGGTTTACTATCTATAGAATTATTAACTTCCGTTAAAACATCCCACACTAAACAAAAAGAATTGAATAATTATTTATCGTGATTGAGCAAAAATGTTGGAAATAGAATAAAATTTTTACCATTTTTCACCAATTCCGTTGTTGTTGGGCTTGGACTGGTACTTGGTGGGGTAGACACTGAAACAAAACAAAAGTTTTTATTTCTAATAAAAGTATTATTACAGTATGGTGTGGGGGTACATATGCACAATAACACACAAAAAAATAATGGTATATCGTCACTAGAGAAGATAAGAGTCGTCGCAGAAGATAACACACAGTTGTTATGAATTGCACCACCTGTTACTAACTTTACCTTTTAAACCTATTACATAACTGATGTAGTATGGTGGTGAAACTGGTGTGACCAGCCGCCTAAATCTTCATCATATTTTATCCGGTTACTGGGCAAACCAATGTTTGGTGGTAGTCGTGTCGAGAGTATATGCTTGAATAATTAGCCTTAATTTGGTCATTCGTCTTAACTTGATACAATTACGTAGAACGTTTGTCTACTTCGCATATGATTGAGCTAAATATATATGAAATGTTTTTTTTTTAGCTTAGAAATTTCAACAAATTTTTCATTTAGTTAGAAAATTTAACAAGTTCAAGATTGATTGACGTTTATAAAAAAAAGTGATGGAAAAAAGCGTTACGAGCTCGATCGAGAGTTAGCTGACTGGGAAAATATGTGGCATCAAATTTCGATTAATCACAAGGTTGACGCAAACGAGACGAGCTTGCATAACGAATAGTGTGGTATGTAAACAAGTTTGGTCAACTCAAAGCTGTTGCTCAAAGTTTAAAGTTTGTTTTCTTTAGTACATTTGAAAAAGTCAATTGCAAAGTGACGCTTTTATGGGAATATTTTTTTTTTGAATTCACAACATACTTCAAATAATTGCCCAGTCACAACGTTCTTGAATCAACTTTTAATTAAGCCATTTATGAAACTGTTTATTTATTCAATTAGCAACATTTTCTTGCTCCATCCAGGACATTTTCCTCATTTTCTAAACTATTGTGATTGAGGTAGCATCAATGTTCATTTACTTTATCTGTTGATAAAAAATATATTCATTTGAATCTATAAGCATAAATCTGATCCCTCTTCGGGACCTTTGGTCTATCTTTACCCAAGTCTGATATTCCTACCAAGCATATTTAGAATCCTCTGAACCATCAATATTAAATATTTTATGAGTAATATTCTTACTTGATTTCGAATAAACAAAAAGTTGTTTCTAAATTCATCTTAGCTATAACTGCTGATAAATTTATAAGGAATTACAACAGATGTACACATGATTAAAAATACTATTCTGATATTAATAATACAATTTTTAGTTCGCCCCAGTAGAAACAAAGATGAACTCAATCTTTATCCAATGTTGTACCAATGTATCTAATCTTGGTTCAACGTTGAGTTAAAGATGAGCCAATCTTTTTTCCTATTAGGGTGAGATTCAAGAGAAAAGGGAAGTTGAAATTTTTTTCATTAAATATATCGAGGTTTATTTCAGCAATTGACGACATGTCTTCAAGTCAAAATATCAACCTGGTTGTTAAATAGAAATGTATGCAAATGATGGTAGCTGTCAACTCAATTTGATCATGACAATATAGAAAACATTTCCAATTAATATTTAATACTTCAGTTTAATTCATTATGATTCTAAATAGCATTAAAAGTTATTGTTTATTTTATTCAAGTAATAAGGCAAATATACCCGTATGACAAGTATTCTGATTTTATCCTACATGCAAAGAAAAGAGAAAATCTTATAGTTTATGACCGTCCAACAAGGAATACATTGTAAGTCTAGATAGCAAGGTTTTAAAAAAAATATTCTATCAAGTTATCCTAGTCTCTTGTTTATCCAAATTTTTTAATCTTAAATAATTTTTGTCTTGTTTAATACAAGGTGTGCAGTTAAAGGGTTGACACTTCTATCATTGTTCAAAGAAGTCTGATTATAAAACATCAAACCAATGTTTCCTCTGAACTGTCAACTTAAAAAGAAACAATTAATTTACACGAGTTGTAACAAAATTTTTTTACTAACCATATTTAATAGTTGGAGTCTTCTTAATATTGGTGATACCATTATTTTATTTGGTATATTTTCTGGAAGATTTCATGCATCATTTCAATAAAATTATGTGAATAGAAATAAGCAGTCACAAAAATTCATTTATCATTTTTGTGAGTTTGTGACGGAAGAATGAGTCACTGGCCGATAGGACGGTAAAAAGAGGACATTGAATAGATAGAGGAAATAGAGACTGAGAGATGGAGAATAAGAGGAAAGAATGATGACGACAACAACCAAGAGTTGCCATTTTGTTCCCGGCTGAGTGGCAGCCAGACTGAGCGAGGTAGAACATTTTTGATTTATCGAGCTAACTTTTATTTCTCCCGGGATATATTAAAACTCGTTGTCTCGACCATTTAACTTCATATTCTTCTGATTGATGATTGGTTGCACAGACACGTATCGTGTGAACAGTCAACTTTTTGCTATATTCGATCTAACACTATTAATTTGACATATTAAATTTTAAAATCTTTCCATATCAACAGTAATTATTGTTGTCAACTATTTCGGACTAAAAAATTTTACCATTTAAGCTTATAAAAGCTTCACGGTGAAAAAGTTTACCGGAATCTCGTTAAAATCTCCAACATTCTCTAATTAGCGTAATGGGACGGTCTTTGCTTTACTCGTCCATCTGTTCACGGTTGCCAACTAAACTTACACTATACTTTGGTCGAGTCGTCAATCGTCCCAAACTTCACTTCATTAAATTTACATTTTTTTTTTCTTTTACCTAATTTTTATCCAATTCATAAAAAGATTCCACTCGTTATATAATCTATCGTATATTTATATATCTATATAGCATTAGTATGCGGTCAATGTCACATTCTTCCTCATCTTCTTCCTTATGACCCTTCCATGACACGGGACTATCCGTTAATTTTCCATCCCGTGACTCCAATCAATCTTACGAAGCGTCAGTGATTCTCTCTTAGTGCGAAGTTGGCTTTTTCTTCTTTCTATGTTCGATATGTCATGAGATGACACATTTCATCAAGCAATGTCATTAATGTTAAAAAAAATTTAAGGTACGGTATAAAGTTTTTATTTTCCAGCTCGCTTTTTTTTTAACCTACAAAAGTTGTACTATTTAAATAGATGTTATCATTTATGTTATTCAATTTCAGCTTCAGGCAAAAAAATTTTACTATTCTCGAAGATAGAGTAATACCATTTCGATAACTATTTGCAGGTTATGCGTGCATAGCGGCATAGAAGTTTCTGCTCTAGACAGTAGCCCTCGGCTGATTTGAGTTATTCGCTAATGTGTTGTATAAATCCTTCTGATAAATACATCTGTGAACGAAAGATCAGTTGAAACTTTTGTTTAGCACAGTGATATTGGTTAAATGCAAGGCTTATCAATGCAAATGAAATTTACCTGAAAAAAGATATGAGCATTAATGATGTCTCATTAGTTTTATTTAATTATTTGCCATTTTCTTCTGATTAATCCTTTTGTTGTGATAACAATCGGACGTATAAGTTTCTATGTGATTTTAAACTGATAAAATTAATTCAATTAGAGACAAAATAGCGAAGAGTGAGATAAGTATGAATGTAGAATAATTACAAATGTGGTAGTTTTGAAGTTTCCAAGCCAGATGATATAAATTCATTTTGAAAAGAACAATTGTATAAGGAATCAAATATATTAAATTTAAAACCATCTGGAAAATTATCAGGACTAAATTAAGGACTGTGTCAAAAATGTTGGAGATTTTATAAGACTCTTATCATGATAAGAATGTAACTTACAAGAATTTAACGCCTTCAACCATAAGTTTCTAATCCGATTACTCTATAAAATTCAGATAATATTGTGCTATTGTTCAATCTTATAACAATAAATTAACTCTTTAATTAGTTCCTATTAAAAAAAATTACTCATACGAATGAAGATTTAATGAGAAATATCAAAAAGCAAAGTATTATTCATCTTTGAAGGGCATTTTCATGGATTTTTTAATTAGGCTCTGATAGGTATTATATTAAATACCATAATATGACATGCTTCATCAAGCTATTAACACAGTTCTGATAGTCATCAAACATGCTCTGATTTTTTTCTTCTCAACCAGAGACTTCTATGCATCATTAATAGCCAAATATAAAAAATCAATTGGTATTAATCTTACCAATTTAATTTTAAAATGATATGCTCCATAATTAATAGACCATTTAATACTTTTATTCAGCTCTAAAATATTGGAAACACTTGAAATTATTCTGTAGTGTGTGAAGAACTGTGGTTATTAATAATGACATATTTTTAAAATAAATATTGCAATAAATTAATATTGTTTGTTATTATAATTTATTATCCAATGTTATTGTGTAAAATTTATTGGATAAAAAGAAGAAGTATTCATTGAAAAATAATTTTAATTATCGATGAAAACCAATCACTCTAATACTATGAGCTTGTCTGAACAGCTACTATTAAGAGCTGATCTTCCCTATATCAAAAGCGAGCCAGCTCGTTAACACGTTCTCGAGGGTCTGTTGATAGTTTATTATGATTGCAACGATCGATAGATACGACGTTTGAGTACTTGTAATGCGTCGATATGGAGAGAATGTATCGTAGGGTTGCCCTAACTTGGTAATTGTGGTAACATAGGTGGGTGCTGTTGCTTATTAAGCATCCCGCTCGCTACCGTAATTGATTGAGCTTGAATGAATTACGTACCACCAAATGATAGACAAAAGTGAGTTGATCCGATTTGATAGATAGTGAAAATTCATTTCATTCATGTTGAATATTTATCTACATATTCAATTAAAAACAATTATTTATTTATCTAGCAGAAGTGAATTTGTTGAGGAATATTTTGACCGCATAATTTGCAGTTTTAGAGTTTTCCGATCAAATTTATTATAAACTCAATTGCCAATCACAATACTTCTCACTGAACATTCTATCGTCATGTAAATTCCCAGCAATTTCGACATAATCCTGTGCTGCACAAAAAGGGTTCTAATCGTATTACCAATGCCAACCGTATTTCCATATGTTAGGTCAACCACGCT